TTTAGCAATGTTACGTGCGACGTTACAACAAACAGCATCGATTTTCAACATCCTAATGTGGTCGAACCAGACCACGATCCCGGTCTACAAACATCAGCCGTCCCGACATCTTCCGAACCTAGCCTGTCGCCTCCCATGACCAACCGCCGTGGTCGGGACGTTCGTAAGCCGGCTCACTTTTCCGATTATGTAGTGTAAATACTTTAAGGTTTGTAAATATTATAAATGTTGGCGTCGCTTTTGGTCGGTTAACGTTTTGGAAACACAAAATTCAAAAAACCTTATTAAAATATCCAAAAACCAAAAAAACTAAACATTTTTGAATGTAGATCATTCGTTTGCTCTTTCTGGAGTGTACTATTCTGCTTTCTCGGCTTTACATGTCCAAGCCTCCCCTTCGATCAACTGGCCTATATGAGCAACGTTTCGAGGATCACCGCTGTCAACGAGGAGCTGGACATGAACGCGGGTCGTTTCTCCATGGGATGAGGGTCGTTTTGGCGAGGGGGGGGGGTGAGAGACCACTCCCAAGTGCATCGTTTGGCAGCAGCGGAGGTTGAGGTACTGTCGGCCATTTTTCTGTGCTAACTAGTTTTTTTGGAAATCCGACAAGGCCACACCAACAGCTGGCCGAAATGCACTCTGACCCGCAATCAATAAATAACCAACGGAACAGCGGACCCTAACTGTGGGCTACATCCATTCGCGAACAAGAACAGATATTCCTTTGTTTACGAATACCTTTTACGAACTTCGATTCACAACCACTTTTGATTTCGAAGGCTTCTTGGTTCGGAATTCTAGGGGAAAGCTTTGTAGCAACCCCAAAGATATTTCTTAGATTTCTTTGTACAAATTTGTTCCTCAATCGTACAGTATTGGTTTTTGTTTTAACGCCGACCCTACGGCCATTTTTTTACCTACTTCCGGCTCATCACTTGTGTCAAGACACTAACGCACGATCTATTCGCTTCATTCGTTTTCGTCCGTTTGTAGCCTTCCTCGAATACAATCCGTCGTGTCCGCTCTTCCGGTTTTCTGGTATCCGCACCAGCGCAAGTGCACTACCTCGGAGTAGTATATACTAGTGCTACAGGTCCGTAAGTTGATGTGACCTGGTATTTGTTGCGTTAACCTCCAAACTCCACTGTGTAGAAATTAGCGAATAAATGATAAACATGAAGACGGATTTGTTAGTGAATGCGATGGAGCCATATTGGACAAGATAAGCACATCGCCGATTGGTACAGTTAGAAAGCTCAACAATCCCGATTCGATACAGCCGCCAAATGGACATCATTATCATCAACAACAGCAGCATATCAGCCACTTGAACTGATGCTTCGCTGGCATACAACCATAACGAAAAATAGTGAGAGGGAGACTTACCGGAAAATTTTAATGCCTAAACAAACATACAAGGTCAAGGCACCTACACCTTGTTGCAACAACGTACCATCATAAACAGCTGGTTATCGTGCAAAGATAAGGCGGCATCGGCGAGACAGCTTCCTTGCGGCTTTCACTGCCACGCGTCATAATCAGACATTACCTCGCAGATAACTCAGCACCACCACACACTTTAAACAGACAATCCGATTAGGAGACGGCAGCAGACGCGCCACTGGTGTCGGTTGCGAGCCATATCCTGTAAAGTCTCAAGTCAAACACAAGGTGAGTCACGTGGACTCCAGCCCGGAAGACGACACGGACCAACGGCGCCCAGTTTGGTCGTCAGTAACATTATATCCCTCGGCCAAGTCAACTTCTATCCACCTCGAGCCTTGCGCCACCGTACATCTGGTAGACAAAACAAGACCCTGCTCGGTAGGCGGTGACCGGGCATGCGTAGTACGTGCCCAATTTAACGCAACTTATTCAGTGCTATCTGTTGTTCTAAAGAACTAGCTTGCACATCATTGCCTAGTACTCGCCTACGTACATCATAGTTGGGAACACGCTGGAGTCATTCGAAACCAGCAATGCTCCGTAGACAGTGATAATCAGACTTGAAGGCGCCTGAGATTTTCAGACCGAAGGGGCCAAGCCCACTCCCATAAAGCAGGACGACTGTCACTGTGGGAATCCCCTTTCTGTCACCAAAGATGTAGCAGATTCAAAAAAGGCAGATCTGACTTTTGCAATCGGTGAACCGACTTCCGTTGCTATGCGCCCATCGTTGCTGATGCAGCTTCAAATGTAAGTGAATTGATAAACTACCTCGAGTTCCTCGCTATCAAAGGTCAAGGGGTCATCAAGTGGCTGGTGATCCTGCAGTAATACCTTGAAGGCGTGAAGCGAATACAGAATAATGGGACCACTCTAGACAAGCCATTCAGGGTTGATTGCACTGCCCCAATCTGGTTAAACAGCAATACGAAATCGTCCGTATAATCAGGAGTAACTAGCATGTCATCAAGCAGCACCTCAATGCCTGCATCGTGAGAAACCGCAAGGGAACATTCCAGGATGGAGTCCACGACGAAATTGAAAAACGATGAATTGGGCAACCCTGACGAACGCCACTTGTGGTCGAAAAGACATCCGACAAGTCATCGTAGACCCTGACACGGCCTGTAGTGTAGGAGGAGAGAACACGTAAGATGTCCACGTATTTCATAGGAACACCTTTCCGAGCAAGTATTTGGAACGGAACTCATCGATCGACTGAATCGAACGCACCCCTGGAGTCGAGAAACACAGCTATTGTCAGTCTGCGCTATGTATGGCGCTGCTCTAGCACCTGCCGCAGAGTGAATATGTGGTCTATACAACCTCGTCCTGGGCGAAAACCTGCCTGCTCATCCCTAATCCGAGATTCCCGTTCCATAGTGAGGCGACGAACGAGAACTGAAGCCAGTAATTTCGTCACAACTTGTGTTAGGCTAATACTCCTGCGGTTAGCAGTCGGTGCGACTACCCTTCTTGAATACTGCCACTATAATCGATTCACTCCAGCTAGCCGAGACAGTCTCCACCTTCCAGACATGCTCGAACAGCGAGTTCAGTGCTGAGCAGAAGACCACACCTCCATCCTTAAATAGTGCAGGTGGCAGGGAATCCGGGCCTGCAGCACGAAAACGATTGAGGCCTGTGATCGCGTTTCGGACCTCAACCGCCGATAGAGCCTCTTAACTAACCGTCCATGGCTCGTCCTGCATCATCTGGGTAGGAAGAGGTCCGGGAGCTGAGGGCCAACTGAACTGTTCTCGGAAGTGTTCACCCCAACGAGTTATACGGCGCTCTTTATTGTGTATCAGTGCATCCGCGCTGTTTCGGATTGTTTCACTGAGGCCTGGTTTTCTGGGACCAGTGATGCGAATCAGGTTGACGACCTTGCGATAGTTCCCAACTGCTCCCGCCCACTCCATTTCTTCAGCCCTACTAGTCCACCAGGCTTCCTTGTCAGCACGCAGGCTCAGGTTCAGTTCGCTTCTAATGGTCCGTCTGTTCACATTGTGCTCAGAACCAGTCGGGAGGTTTCTTCTGGATTCCAACAGGTTCACCGACTTCTCGGAGATCTAGTGACTGGTGTGGTGACGATTGACAGTATCAGAAGCAGTTGCGCCTGTGTCGTGCATGGCGGCCGAGATGCTATTCTACTGAAGCTGTGTCATTAGGACAAGGAGGCGAAAGTTCGGTACGCAGTGCATCCTGGGATGCCTAACTGACCCAGGGCTGAGATAATTTCTTAGTTGCCAATCGAGGGGGACGCTTGGTGCGCCTACCGGTGGAATTCACGGAAAAGCCACAGCTTACGAAGACATGAACAGAGTCGATGCATGCAATCCAGAAAGAGCGACAATCCAGGATGGAACCAGGCCACTTGTAACTGGCAATATAATCTATTTGGATCGATGGCTGGCCAGCTACAGGACGCCAAGTGGCACATCGGCGCCACTGTGTCTGAAAGCAGTGCTAGTAAGAAACAGCTAGGGCAGCAGTCTACTAAGCAGACATGGAGCCAAATCAGTGGTGCTCCGCACATAGCAGCAACTGACGCTTGCGGTTGCACGTACAGTCGCAATTAAGCCCATAATTACCACCTAGCTGAGCTTCTGAAGAGCCCAAGTGACCTACTTGTGCATCCATATCTCCTGTAAGTACTATGATAGCTGAGCTGGTGGCAATGCACTGTAACGCGTTCAGCCCTTCGAAGCATCAGAAGTGCAACCGGTGGGAGCAGAAGCGGAAACCACAAACAAAGCGTCTAGTGCTACTTCGTGTATCAACGTTGGTCGATGTCGTCAAACGGATTGTATTCAAGCGGCTGTTCATGGGAATCCAATCAACCAACGAGGATTCGGCTTTAGAACTAAGAACAATGCGCACTCCAGCCTGACCAGCGGTGGCCGCATCAAGGTCTTAAGATGTGTACTAGCAATAGCGAGAGGATAAGCCGGGTGCAGTTAATTCAACAACCCCCTGAGAGTCATTGATCCTAGTTTCGAACACACGTCAATACCCAGCGTGACTAACGTGCGTGTGAGTACAACCTGTTGATCTATTTGACTTAGAGTGCGAAGGTTGAGTGCCGCAAACGAAACGGGCAGTGTGGTCTTATAAAGGACTGTTGCCGATAGGCTTCCAGTGGGTGGTGCGGGTAGGTAGCTGTAGACGATTCGACTTCAGTGGCACCGCAGCTGCTGTCAATTAAGCTGGGAATTATAGGAGGGTTAGTAATGGGGATTGTGGGAGGAGCAAAACAGATGGAAAATAATGTAGGGAGACACCAGCAGTAGCATGTTTTGGCTTATGCGCCCTGCTGTATGCAGCAGATAAGGCGACCCTTGATAAGCTGCGATGCAGGATATGGTTGAAGTTTGAAGAAGTAGTCATGGTTGTACGTGGGCTGAGATACGGTCAGGGCGACCACACCTAGACAGGAGAACGATTAGGGTCCTCAACCAAAGCATTTAGCTCAAAAGCCTGTCCGCAAAGCAGCGGGAAGGTGGCAACGATTTAGCTTTACAGAAATGAACGCCATCCCATTTCAAACTCGCAACCTTGAGACCGAGTTTATTTGACCTCTAATCAGTGACCAATCTGATAAGAGTAGCTCACAAAGAGCTCGTGGAACCATCCAGTATAGCTCAGTGGGCCAAAGCGATACGCAAACCGTCGCACCACATTTAGGTCCAGTCTCGTTGGGACAGGTGGACAACAAGGAGTAGGGAAAAGTACAGTCTTCAAGAAAAATGTGAATGTTACAAAAGGTTAGAGTGGAAGGTGAGCAGGAAAAAGTGATGTATAGTTTATTCGAAAAACGGCCGGAATTTTTTTATCACAAAGGCCCTGTACATAGGCTTCGTTTCCAACAAAAATGACTGAGGAAGGGAAGACGTGATGGTGGTGCGGACGTGCGAGGTGAGACAAGGCTAAAGGTCAACCCGTATTACAGTCCATGGAAAATAGTTTCACCGTGGAATCGTCGGAAGCAGAAGCGACGAGCCTTGTTTCCACCGAACGATGTGCAGGCCCACTTGTTGTGGGCGCAGTGGGCACTACATTGGAGGACGGAATGAGAACCAAGTCCAAGATCATCGCTTGATGACCCCACCAAATGAATAAAGGAGCAGGGACAGTTGTTGAGGATCCCGCGTCAACGACGCTGTGGGTATCACAATGACCGCCGCCACCGCCACCACTCCAACCAATTACGGCACAGTGTGTGGTCGATGTGAAAAAGATCGGTTCCTGATGGCTCCAACGTAGAGAAGTAAATCCGACTTGATCAGATATCTGAAATAAGAGAGAGAGAGAGGGATGAAAATCCCATGATGAATAGAAGAAAAGCGGGTGACTCATCACTTCAAGTGAACATAACGGCAAGATGTATTGTCAACTTAGAGGAGAACATGCGAGGATCTCTAGCAAACGTGAGTACTAGTTAAGATAGTGATATGGACAGGTTCCCGACGATTAGAGGCCAAAATAAGGAGAATAATATTTCTGTCTACGAGATATTTCGAAGCTCAGCAACTGTACATCGATGACTGAGTCATATTTGCGGTATGAGAACCCTCACAACAAGAACAGTAACCACTTGGTGACTACATAGCTTCCTCAAGAGTAATATACAAGAATAGACAACTGTAAAACAACTGCGAATAGGAGCAGGAATATTAGAACTTCCTTTTGTAGACTAGTTGCTCGGTGCTCAACTCCGAAGATAAGTTAAGATAGAGGCGCGCAAGGTGTAAGGCACGTTGTTATCTGATTTCACATCGTGTTCGAAAAAGTATGTGTGGATGTCAAAACAACCTTCGAAGCAACCACCTAACAACTGTCAAACGCTCGAGCCTCCTCATTAAAGGAGTATCAGACAGCTGCTGGATTAGCTAGAGACTGTAGTTCTGAAAACGAAGTCGAGCATAAGAACATCGGTTGCGAATAAAAAGCACCTTACATCAAAACTAGTAATAAATCTTAATAGGTTGCCGGCGCCATACTCAGAGGCACGAGTCACTGCGTGAGCTTCGCAGCAGTAAGGTGAGCTGAACGCCAACGACGAATGCCAAGAACGGAACGGCCATCCAAAAGGTTGTGCCGGTGGCTGAGTGGCCTGACTTGCAATCATACGATTACCGGTTCGAATCCGTGTAGGAGTGGGCGTCCTCGTAGTATATTCAGCCCACGTATGACTGGTGGTGATCGCGCCGGCAGCAAAGTGCCATTACCGTGTACAGCTGACGATTCATTTCATTCATCCAGTTGCGCCAAAGAATGGAACAAACAGGTGCTCAGTTTCGGCCTAATCAGAAATAGCGTCTGGCAGAATGGAAAACAAGCCACAAACAGTTCAAGCGAGAGTATAATGACGTTCCGCATCGTCGACCAACCATAGTGATATTTTTGGACATTCGAGGCGCGTTTGACTTCGTTGACAGAGTGGCTCTTTGAGACCGCTTACTGAGAAGTACATCAGCATTCTCCGTGCCATTTACCATCAAACTTCGAGTCGCGTGCAAGTATACGGAGACTTTTCACCTCTTTCAGTACCAATAGTGGTGTTAGACAGGGTTGCCCAGCCTCAACATTCTTGTTTAACAGCCATGAATGAAATCCTAAACACTGTCTTGCAAACCACTGAGTCCTACAGCCTTAAACTGCTACCGGGTGACCGCCTTCGAAGCGTGGAGAACGCATATGACGTCAATGTGATTTGGGAATATTCCCAGGCCGCGCACCATGTGCTGCATAGTCTAGGGATATTCGCTTCTCGACTTAAGTTGACATTTACCCATTCCAAGTGTAAGGTCCTTTTACAGGACTGGCCAAGTATATCTTCTACTCTCACCCTTTCGGGGAATCTGCTGGAAACGGTCGACAAATCCATTTACCTTGAATGTTGTCTTAATAATAGCGATTTGACGGATGAGATCTCCTTACGTGTCTCTAAGGCTATAGTAGCATTCGTTAGCCACCGTCACCTGTGGCTTCATCGTGACCTCTGCCTCGATCTGAAGGGCCGAGTCTACAATACTGTGGTACGAGCGGTTCTGCCGAATGGCTGAGAGATTTGGCTCGCTCACAAGTGATGTCCAGCAGCTATCCGTCTTTCATCACCGCAGCCTGAGGAGCACTGCTGGTGCTCAACGGCAGCATCATATCAGTAATGAGGAAGTCCGACAGCACGTCTTCAAATCTGACAAATTCCGCCGACCGAGTGACAGCATCAACTCACTGCGGAGGTTTCGCTGATTTAGGCATGTGCTTCCGATGCCTACCCAGCTGCTACCATGACATGTCCTATCTGCAAGCGCAGGCGTAGGATGGAAGCGACGACATAGAGGGCCAGTGAAAAATTTAGATCCAACAAGTTAAGGCGCAAACGACAAAGCTGACTGTTGTTGGACGTTCCTGATACCCGGGTTGGAGACCAAAGGACCCTGAGCACATATGGCTGCAAACGATACTGGATATGGTCAAGGACCGTAAGCAATGGCGTACTTGCTGTGAGAAAGTTCTTCTCTAACTATCGTTTTCCATCTCACCCTAATACTGAATACTGAAATTAGAGAACGAAAAAAAGCTGTGTTGCTTCATCGTAGGTGGATCGGGCACATGCGCAGAATAACGTCGCTGATTCCTGTGCGGTGGCAACATATAGCAGCTGCACTGCATCTTACTCGGGTGCGATACGCTCCCTATACATGTAGTCCGCAAAGTGGGTATCAAGGAATCTCGTAAATCCCGACACAGATTTCACCTCGACTAGCGTCTCCGGCAACTTATTCCAATATGTAACCACTCAACGATCGAAGGGTGAACGATGCGCTTTAAACCTGGTACCACAAGTTTGTACCGGTGTCCGCATGTGCTGCTTGGTGCGCGAACGTGCAGCAGCGGCCTCAAGATAGGAAAGTGGCCCAGGTGAACTATACGGTGCATCATTATGAGATCAACTCGAAGCCGACAATATGACAGGGTATACAGCTCTAGTCTCCTACGTCGATCCTCGTACGACTTACCCCGTAAACTGGGGATGAGCCGGATAGCTACATGCTGGGCCCATTTCAGTCTGCACCACAACTGCAGTGATTGGACAATAGGCGGGTGAGCCGTACTCAAGCACCGGTCTTATCATAGAAGAGAACAGACGGGTGGCAATCTCTTCAGAGCAAGTGCAGAAGCTGCTTCTAAGTGTCCAAAGCAGGCGTGGTCAGTTTCCGTAAAGTCTGTTCGTGGTTTTAAAAGAGTTTAGATCACAGCATGACAGTACACCTAGATCCTTTACGGAGCATGTGGGATGCAGCGGTTGACCGGCTAGGGCGTACATATGCCCATTAACATCCTTCCCCAGATTCATAAATAACGACTTGGCCGACAGATCAACTCCTGCACACCACAGAGACAGGCGGTCGAGCTCCTGCTGAAGGACGTCTTATGTGTTGTAGCACTCAGCCAATTGTAAGGTTATTGGTAAAGTGGGGAGTGTGGATGGTGCAGCGCAAGCCACCCATAGTCCCTCTGTAGGCGCAGGCGTCCTGTGGCTGGCCACAGTGACAGGCAAATCCGAAACCGGATGCCGCCAACCATTATATATATATATATATATATATATATATATATATATATATATATATATATATATAAGTGCGTTTTTCCTGAGGACGATCATGACTATAGGCTTGCTCGTTGAGGAACTCGTTCAATGGTTATAAGGAAGACCAAAACATAGGTGGCCAGTAGGAGCTGAAAATGTTGACACAACACAAAGTAGCACGAATAGAAAGCAAATGAAATCTCGTATCCTCCGCATGTCACACACTTCTCATTCTCTACGGAGATATAACAGATGAACGTGCAGATACGGATTGGTTGTAGGCCAAACAACAGGATCCCACTGGGAAAGTATTGACTGTGTTGGTTCGCTACTCCATCTCTTTTCCCCTGGCATCAGCAGTAGGCCGGGTCGAAGCTTTAACGTCAAGCGAACACTAACGGATTGCATGCGGTTTATGCATACTAAAAGGTCGCTCGCATCTACGCAGGCTCGAACAAGTGACCGTTGGGTTACAAACCTAGTCAGATTCCTTCCATGCAATTAGTCGTCTACACCAATGATTTCTTCTCAATTGAGTGTTCATTGGACATTGGATGCAAAAAGACAATTTGGTACTCTAATGATCGTAACCTCCGCGACAAAACATATGAGATTGGTTGCAGGTTCACGAGTAAGAGTCAAACTCTTCAGCACACAGTGGAGAATTGTCCGGCCGAACTTTGGGGCTTAACTATACAGTCATGATTAGTCTATCCTGGATGTTTTCACTGGTCTGGCCTATTGCCTGCAGTGTGTCTCGGTGATGAACGAGTAAGTACGCCTGGATGTCAGTGCGGATCTCCACAAAAGAAGCATTATCTCACCGTGGAGGACGAAAAATAACGAAAGCAGAAACAAAGGTTCTTTTATGATGCAAAGAAGAATGGTAGTTCCGACATTTCTCGACTGGATACATGGGAGCGTTGTAGAGTAATGCACCTGTGCGAACATCCACCGATAATCTTCTTCAGGCAGTCCAGATACACCATTACTTAACAATTCACTATCCTGCCACACAAAGGAGGAGAACAAGCATAAGACCTGTATTTCCCATTTTAAGATACTACCTCAAAGTATTTCACATGATCTCACATCAATGGATCAGAATCCATGTCAATAAGAACGTTTGACCAAGTACAAAGGCCCACGCATGAGGTACTTGTGGGAATAGTTCCTTGTGCAATTGGGAATAAGCGTACAGGGTTACTCTTTGTAGAAAGGAAAAGACAGTCATCAGCAGTACGTCGGCACACTGTACCGACATGCCGCTGTCAAGCGAAAAGAAAGAGGCGAGCTAGGGCTGATTATGTTACGAGGTCATCCGCACCCAGGCGGAATCGAACCGGGGACTTCCGATATGCGTGCAATCCTTTCGGTCGTCTGTCTTGTGGGTTCGTTTGAAGCATGTTATCTGAATGAACTGAAACACGCCATCTTACTTAGGACAGCGATCAAGGTTGAAGTGAACCTAGGTCATTTCGAACATCAAAACCAACTAGGAGTGGTCCTTATTTCCAACAAAGAACCGGCTCCATAAACCAATATCCTAACTAGCACAAGATGGCGGAACTATGTTGAATACTGCCTCTTGAGTGAATCGGGTTTTCAACCTTCCGTAATTTAAGCCTTTAATTATTATAGGGACGTTGGGTCCCCATAACAAACTAATAATCGCTTGACGATTTGTCAACAACAGTGCTTTGGAGGATGGTAACTAGAACTTATAACAGATGACCTTGGGTTTAATTGGTTCCGATTGATAGAGCTGAAACGGCTATGGAACCGCAGTGAGGACAGGAGCATTACAGTGAGTAAAATGAAAATTGGTAGTGAAAGGGATGTCGTAAATGACAGTACACGCGCAGGCAGGAATTCTGAACCAACCTCGTCCGAGTAGGTCCACTTCTGCCGGAAGCGCATTTTAGTATTGTCCACAATCCCCAAGGTCCCATCGGCTGTGCCGAAGGCGAAGTAAGGGTGGCTGAGGAAGGGACAAGGTAAATAAATAAGACTGGTGTTGTAGGAATAAGTTTTCGTGATCAAGGGTGGGTAGTGACGAATAAAAACCAGGTGAAATGATGAAAGCAACCCCGCATACCTAGGTAAAGTGGAGTATGGGGAAGATATGAAACTGGGAAAGAAGGCGTGAGCTCAGCATGTGGTGGGAAGAATGATGCAAAAAGGCAGTAGGAAGTATGGTCAAAAAGTGGTAAACAGTGCCTAAATGTGGTCAAGTCAAATGGAGTCAAAATAGACTTCATACACCAGAATGGGCGCATTTTGAGCAACCATGTCATTATCAATGAGGAATAGGGATTTGGATGTAATTGCAAAGGCAGCTCGTCGCAGCCCCCTTCAGTCAGCAGGCTTCGACACGTCTGGAAAAGCATCAGACAGCTGTATTGACTTTCTGCGTCTAGTCAGTGGCGCGCCTTTCTCGGAACCCTCCGGGTTCCGTGGCATAAGCCGCTGGCATCTGGAAGTCATGGGTCAAAACTCGGCAGTGGTCCAAGGAAGGCGCACCACTGCCGAGTCCCAGAATGTCGAAACAGCTGTCTGGTGCTTTTTCAGACGCGCCAAAGCCTGCGGACTGAGAGAGGACCGCGACGAACCGACCTTGAAATTATACCCAAATCTCCACTATTTATTAATAATCAAAAATCTGTCAGTATAGCTTCTAAGTGCTGTGTCGTACATAGTCGCTATGCGGAAAGTCCTAGCTTGTGGGGCTAACTGCTGCCCTCTGCACAGTTCGTAACTGGGATGGCAGTGGAGGATGAGCCGGGCTATATCGTAATCAATTGTCAGTCCTGCAGGTCCGCGGCCGTCACCCATGGCTTAGTGGCACAAGCTGCTGGCATCCGGAAATTATGAAGGTAGAAACTCGGTAGGGATCCGACAGAGGGTGCACCACTAAGGAAACACATTTCGAAACAGCTGCCTGGTGCTTTTCCAGACGCGTTGAAGAACGTTGACTGAAATGAGACCGCGACGAACTATTACGAAATCACATCATTATTGTGAACACAACAAACTCCAGCAGTAAAAGGAAGTCATAAATCTTGAGTTCGAAAAAAATGATGACATTTTGGTAAATCACCGTACTGTGGGTAAGAATGCACATCGATAATACTAGGAGAAAACTGATGCACATACTAACTTGGTTGTCAGTCGAGAAATTGTCGAGAGAATCTCCGAATAAACCACCGTATCAAGAAATCTTTCGTTTCAATCAGCCATGTATTATTCCTTTTCTGTCCTTCCAAACGTCATTGTATGATCTGATTTTCAAGTATCCTGATCCACCCACCTATGGTCAAAAGTTCCTACGGGTATGCACTTCTCCGAACATGTCGATACAGGCGTGTCTGGTATCGTCGAGAAGAAAAAGTGCATTTATTCAGTCTCTTTACTTTGTCCACCATACAACCCAGGTGGGACATTTGATAGCAACGTCCATTCAGAGTGAACAGGGAGCAAAAGAAAGTAGGTTGACCGATTACGTCATTTGGCACAGCATGTCGAGTTGTTAGCCTATGTCACCTAGCTGATTGGCTAACGTTCGGTTGCGCTGCGGTGAGCTGCTCGTCGTTGATTGTACTGAGTCAAAGGAGCAGCCTAATCGGCCCCAAAATGTCATCGTCAATGCGTGGACAACGATTAATCCACAGCATGGATTCCTAAACTCCAGGTCGCGCACCAGTTGTCACTTAGAATTCCTAAATTAATTTATTGACTCACATGATCGTGGCTTATCCGCAATCGCCATCAAACTCGACATGCATAAAGCCTTCGATCACGTACTTCACATTTGTTTTCTAGCTAAACTCCAAACCGACAGTATAGCGGACTGTTTACTGGCTTGGTTTAGGTCGTACCTTACTGGTCGCTCACAGATGGTAAGATACCTCTACAAGGTTATCAGATACCATAGATGAATGGAGGTGCGATAGATACAGTTCCTTAAACTCACGTCACTAAGATACTTATAACCATAGCAACAATAATGTATAACAGACTAAGATGAATGAACAAAAAAGCAAAATAAGAGTATGAATATGTCAAGTGTCAAAAAGTAAGCAACAAATGCAAGTGTCATCGAAATAGATCCTGACCACTGGCGTGGACGACAACGAGGACCTCCTCCAGGAATATGGAAAGCGCCAAGCCCATCTAGCATTCTCATATTCACGTAATCGACTGACCATTTGGATGGCTGACCTAACTATCCACCAGGGTTAAGTGATACACTTGGAGGCAGTTAGCTAGCGGAAGAAAATGGCTTAAATGAATTTGGAACGCTATGCAGGAGTATCAGAAGCATGACTCCGGATTCCTTATAACCACTACATTCGTACACATTACTGGTAAGCAACGGAGTGGAACACATGAAAGCTAAACTAATTTATGTAAGCTTGATGATATACTGAGTGCATCTTTACAAAATCATCTTCTTAGTAGTGAGGTTCATCGTGTCTGCCCATAGCATCAGTTGTTTGGAAGAGCGTGAGTAGCCCACCTCCATTCGGAAGCGCCCCTATCACAATTCCAGAAGCAAATTAATAGTTCATAGAAAAGATCATCTGAGTTCATTGTTATAAGTCGTGTGGGTAGAAACTGCCCTCTATTTGCTTTCTCAAACTTGAAAGCGGAAGTATCAGAAATGAATCCGTCTTATGCGTTTCGTCTGCGATGAAGGTTATGTCAGATGACCGAGTGACAAGCCGATAGTAGGTCGGAGAAAGGTCTCACCTTAAGTCGGACCCAGTCTCCGCGCAAACGGCTCTAGGTGGACAAGAACACAGCGATGCTTGTGCTGGTGTGTGTATCGAAGCCTCCAAAGCGCTAGTCACTGCTACACAACTGACAAGAAGCAATCGAGTTCTTCCATCACTGAACAGCAATCGAGGTAGACGATCGGTTCACTCACACTGGTAGCTGCGTTACATCAAGATTTCAAATCACGGAGGCCATTGTACACATCAGCAGGAGCTCAAGGGATTTCACAGTCGGCCACTCGGCTGCACAGTCAAACGTAAGTGCACAAGTTTGAAGTCAAGTCAACGGTACCGCACGAACCAGGGTCGTGAGCAATACTTAAAGATCCGAATTTTCCGCGATGACGAGACATGTTCTTCGAGATCGAAATCAAAAATGCCGCGAAATTTTTGCCGTGCAAACAGCAAATTCCGCTACTTCACCTCGAAAACGAAAATAAACAGAAATTAAGACACCTTCATCCACTATATACATGTCAGTCATGATTGAAAACAGAGTAATTAAAATAAAGCCCAATAAGGTGTTTTGTGTTACTGTCTGAAAGGTTATGACGCTTGTCAGGGACATTTTTGTAGGCACTAAAGCTCCGTTCAGCGTCTACCGAATTCACAGGACTGCATAGATAACGGTCAGGGATGTCTTTTGTGCATCCCGCACCAGAAAGTCAGCGCGTCTTCACACTTTTCTCCTCGAAGTTCTTCCACCACCTTTCAATAGATTAACCACACGGCTGCCAGAGCTGGGTAGCTAATTAGGCCTGGAACATGCGCAGTTGCATGGAACATTGGACAAAGTGATGAACTGGTTGGGGTCGAGCACTTAAATGGTTTTCGAAAACGGCCAGCTAGTCTGTGATGTCAGCAACGTCTTGGATTTTATGGCAGCTTGGGATAAGCAGAATTGCATTTCAGTTTGGATTTTGCTAGACGCATCAAAAGTGAGGCCTTATGCTTACAAATGTCGCAGCCAGTTTTGTTCAGCGGCAGTTTTCAGCGACATGGATAGATCAGTACGGCTGTTATGAATTTTATGTGTTACCGGAGACTGTGATTCGACAGTTTTCAAGTGAAAGATGATGTTCTTCCCAACAGTCGTAACGCAACGCATTTGTCATCTCAATGATTTCTGTGTTGTTTTCTTGGTTAGAATATCCACCGGTTCACAAACAACAGCTGAGTCTCCAAACTCGCGCTGTACAGCTCGGAACATGACTGGGTAATGATAGGAATACTCGCTGTAATGTGTGACAGCTTCCAGCAGGAGTTCCAAAAGGTGATACCCGGTGCAGGCGGACTGTTTGAGTTATCCACGCGCTCCACTCCATGTAGACACGCCTGTTTTTTCCCGAAAGACGAAAAGCACTTTGCATTTTTGCAATGAATTCGTTGAGAGAGACGCCAGACCCACAGAATTTCTTGCCGGATTCGAAAATATTTTACAATTCAATGGCTTTGACGAAGAGACGAAAGCACGGTTAAGACATGCAGTTGTTCTAATTATAACCCACACCAAGCAACAAAATTATTTATCACAGCAAGAGAAGAAAGCAATAAGATCTTTAAAAGTTGTTGAAACTATCGTGATCCTGCCTGCGGACAAAGGACGTGTGTTATAATGGATAAAACAGAATACGTTGAAAAGACAAAGAATCTCCTGAGCGACCGTACAACATACCGCTGCTTGGAAAACGATCGCTTTCTAAGCAGCAGTACAACTGATAAATAAAATTAATAAGACCTTAAAAAGACTTCAGAATTAAAAACAACTCACAAAGGAGGAGCACAACAGGATGAAAGCTCATGACTCAAGCCGCCCGATTCTACGGACTCCCGAACGTGCACAAAGCTGGTGTACCGCTTCGGCCAATCGCGTCACTCCCTAGTACGCACACCTACAACTTACCTCAAGAATTATGGAGGCGCCTTAAACACCTGATTAGTGGCTCGCGGTATTCCATAAACAACGCTCAGCAGTTTTCAGAGAAACTCAAAGGGCTGCGCGGAGTGATGATGAAGAAATAATGGTGTCCTTCGACATTATTGCACTGTTCACTTCTGTCAACATACAAGTGGCGAAAGAAAAAATTTCAGAGAATGACTGAATGTTGGCGAAGGAGCAATTGGGAATCTGACGACTGATAGTATATGCGAGCTCCTTGACTTGTGTCTCACGACGTACCTTAACTTCGATGGAGCATTCTAT